TTCTTAAGTATGGGTCGTCTGTAACCTGGGTGTTCTTAAACTGGGACTACCTTTTTTTTTTTTTTTTGCAAAAACAAGATTAAGTTCTTGTCAAATGTGTGAGGAATACTGCTGTTTGTAAAATCATAGAATTATCTTAACATTCATATTATATGACCTGGAAGGGACCTTAGATGTCATATAGTTGAATTCCTTGTTCAGCATTAAACTATTCCCAACAGGTACTATCAAACCCATGTTTGAAAACTTCCAGCAAGGGTGAGGCCAACACTATCCTAGACTTAACATTCCTTTCTGTCATGATTAAGGGAAGGCGGGGACACCGATAAAGGTATACTAAGAACTAGTAAGAATCTACCTTGCTTCTTTAAATGAATTCAGATTTTCAGGGCCAGATGACTTACTACCCATGATACTGAAGGAGCTGGCAGAAGTGACTTCAGAACTGTTCACTGTACTTCTCAGCTACTTCAGCTATTTCTCATAGGGCTTGGTTTCCACCCCCTGTATCATTTTGATAGCTCTCCTCTGAATCTGCTTCAGCTTCACTTTGTCCCCTTTGAAGTGTGATGCCCAGAACTGGATGCAATATTCTAATGATCTGGAAGCAGCATTAATGCAAGTAATATCTGTTAAGCCTTGATTTGTGTCTCCTTTTAGTCCTAATGTTGTGATTAATAGAAAAGAATTATGCCTTGATGGATTTTCCCAAATATGTGCCATTCTTCTTGAAAAATCTTTATAAATCTATTAAAATGCTATGCTCTGGCACAATGATTGATATTAAAATAGGCATAGGATAAATAGCTCAGAATGGTTTTCATCACAGAATTTTAAGTTTATTTAAAGTGATCTATTGGTATCAAGGTTGTAATATAGTTGAGCAGTGTGGTACTTGTACATAATTTAAAATGTATTGAAATATATACGCATACAGATAGATAGAATATATGCACTATTTATACCTTGCTCAATCTCATCACTGTTGTGAAATTTAGATATTTTGTGTGCAGAGTTCTTAATGACTGTTTTATGTATTATAGAAATTATAGAGGAAATAATCTGTCATATTCAAAGCACGTTTCTGTAATATCCCACTTGTATCTGAAGCAGACAAAATCTTTCCAAATTAAGATATTGAACTCTATTATACCTATTAAATTTATTGACAGATGTATGACAGAAAATAGGAATATGGCAAAAGGCAAAATACTGATGATACTGCAGCCTAAAATAATGTGGTGAACTGTGTCTGAAAAAAGTTTCAGTTTCCAAATTTGAGCTCAAAGTATTTTAGAGGCAGTACATTGGTTTTTATTCATGAATGTACCTAATCTCTTGGAAGATAGAGATTCTTGGAGGTCATCCATGTATCATATTGTACTAGTGAACTCCATTGTTATATTTATCAGATAAAACCCTGTGGAATGTAGGTAAGAAAGAAACCTTTCTAAGTAAATAAAAAAATGGAACCACATGAAGATGATTTCCTCTCATTCATCTTGAATCTTGCCCCAATGAATCTGCTTCATTAGATGATCATGTTTCTAATAATAGGATGGAAGGGATTTTTTTCTTTTTTTTTAAATGGATAATCTACCTATCATGGATTTAGGTCTAATTCCCATTATATGAATTTGAGTAGTTTGAAAAGATTGGGGCTACAATAATACCTTTCAGGCTGCATTCCGGGCAACATAAAGGCTTCTTGAAAACTTCTCAAAGTTATCATCAGTAATGGTAGATAATTTTCCTTGACAGATAGTTCATCCACTGCTATGTTTTGCTGCTCTGTACAGCTGGAGAGAAGTATCCAGTATGGCTTGAACGTACAGTACCAAGAGCCTGGCTACATGTTCCATAGCGTCCTTCAAAGTTTCTTGAAATATGTAGTTGTTTCTTGGCCCGCATGTTAATGCAGAAGGATTCTGAATAGGTTTTAAATTCAAAGGGTGCTAGCCGGTAACATACATATCTTGTTCTAGGGATTTTTTGTTGTTGCTGTTGTTGTTTTTGCAGCACTTTCTTCTCCCTGTTGAGGTCCAGCTTTTTTGCTTCTTAACACAGCAACATAAGTTGTGATAGAGAATTCCTCTGTAAGCAATTAGGGGATTTTGTAGTACTTTTGCTCAAAGTAGCTCAAAGTAGTCATTGAACTACAGCCTCAAATATATGTGCAGCCTTTCCTGAGCATTCAGTAGGAAACCTGCCCAAGTACTTAACTGTGTTGTTATAAACCAATTAAGCTGGGTTAATCCCTTTGTCTTCAGTGTGGCAGTTTAAATGGTTTGTGGTCCTTGCTTTTTGTGCATCGTAAGATTTACAGCCCAATTGAAAACATACTGTGCCAGCAGATTAAGTGCATAGGGTGGGAGACTTATTGACTAGCTGTACCAGTAACACAGCACAAAACAAGACATCATGCTGGCATTGCAGGTAGATAAGTGCAAATGTTCAGCATCAAGGTGCTACAAACACAAACCATTATTGTTGATAAGCATCTTTATTTCTAGCTTTTGCTTTATATTATTTAAATTGGGCCCTTTGTTTTAAGGGCATACAAATAATCCAGTGCTTACAACCAGTCTTACATTTAGCTTTTGTGTATGGCGCTTACATGATTGGACTTAGGAGATGTGGAGAAGTCCATTCAAAGTTTATGTGACAGAAGATGTTAAAGAATACTGAGCTGCTTGCTGTGTCTGCATGTGAGATGAGAAAGAGAGGGAGAGAGAGACAAAATTCTCATGAACATTGGGAGAGGGAACAGACCTCCCTCGGATGTCTCCTGATCATCCAATTCCTAATTTCGTAAAGAAAAAGAAAACAAGTTAGGGAAACAAAACACACTGAGGTTTCCAACCCCGTTGCCAGCAGTAGCTGTAGGAGGCACCTGTATTTTCTCTTGTGTAAGGAAGTAATGTGTTTGTGTACATTTGGGCCCATTTTTGAAACTGATCTTTCTTTTGCCCTCCCCCTCCCCCCATTGCTGGAATAAGGCAAACAGTGGTCTTACTGAAATTTAATCTTAGCTCAAGCCAAGTCTTATGGACAGCTTTTTTGCTATGTTCTAGTCCCTATTAGTCTTTATCTCTGCTAGCATTCCTATCAAAAGTTCTTCTCCTCCTCCATCTAAGGCCTTTGTAAGGTTTTTGTTTTTGTTTTAAATCTAAAACTGAAATGCTGCAGACTTCCAGGTCTCATGCGTGGTATCTATTGCTTTGAGTTGTTTGTCATCTAGTTTTTAGTTTTCTCCAAATGCTGAAGCAGTGGTAGCCAAAAGAGTTTCAGAAACTTCCTATACCATGTGTCCTTCAAATCCTGTTACTTCTTTTCTGTATACAACTTTTTGTCCTTCTTTTCTGTACTTAAACAGGCTCTGGCCTGATCGATTGTTCTCTTTTGGCATATATTTCTTCAGATTCTCTGAAACATAATGCTCCTTGTATGGGTGATATGATTATTTTTTGTTGTTTTGTTGTGAGCCGCCTAGGATTACTGTGTATAAAATAGGCAGCCGTATACATGTAAGTTTTATAAATAATAAATAAAGTGGCCTATCTTCATCCTCTTAATAACAAAAAAACCCCCAAAACCTTTGTTTGATACTTCACTTTCGTTATTCTTTTTTTCCATCCAGTGTTTCCTCTTTCTTTTTTGTCTAAGATTATTGAATGAGCTGTTCTCTCAGCTTCTTCCATATTTGGCAGAAATAATCTCATCAGTCCATTTCACACAGGGTTTTGTGTGGGTCATTTTACTGAGTCCGCATTGGCTCAGTTTATTAGTACTTTGCAGGTGGCAAAGGAAAATCATTAGCTATCAGGGTTAGTGCTACCAAATTTCCTCATGGCATTTAATATCCTCAATGTAATAGTTAGGGTGTTGGACAAAGAGCAGGGAAATCCAGGTTCTAGTGTGCCATCAGCCACAGAAAGTCACCGAGTGACATTGGCCCAGTTGCTTTCTTTCAACCCTGCCTCCCTCACAGGGTTACTGTTGTGGGGACAAATAGAGGGAGGGAGCTCAATGTTTGCCACTTGGAGTTCCTAAAGGAAAGGCAGGATATAACTCTAATAAATCAATAAACAATTCTATTATCCAATAGAAAAGAATATATATAGCTCAGGGTGAACTGTTCCATTCTTGGTGCTCTCTGAGCTAGGTTGTTTTCTTGCAGATGTTTCATTACCTGGCTAAGTAACATCATCAGTGCAAGGGTTTGCTGGCTGTTTATATAGAGAGACTTGCCCTGCTATTCTTATGAGGATTCATGCTGGATCGGAGAGACGTATAAGCCCCAGAAAATAAATAATTTCTCCACTGTTGCTTTCTGTTGGCAGTCTTACAAATGGGAATGCAACCACTGCAGAACAGTGCCTGCTATTCCCAAATTACTAAAAGTTTCAGTAGTTTATTGTGATCAGTGGTATCAAATGCTAGTCCAAGATGCAGGTAATCAACTTATTGGAGGCATTGTCCTGCAGGAATCTGAGAGGTTTAAATTTCCTTCCTTCCTTATGCAAAATCTTCACTATGTGCTTTGATAGAGCATACTAAAGGCAAGCTGCCAAAAAAATTTAAATGTTCTTCCAGTTGTTTCTGATAGTAGACATCTAACTGCATCTCAGAAGCATAGCTGGTCCATTTAAAGTCCATTTGACAGTAAACTTCATTCATGCTTACCCCTGATAAACAATCCTCCATAAGCTTATTCTGAATATCAGAATGGCATATGAACAGTGATGAGGATTCAAGAACATCACAGACAACTAATATGCTCCTAGAAGTTTTTAAAATTAATTTTTATCCTCAGTTCATGATAGTGGCTTGACAGTAAGCCTATACTGGATGATAAATATTACTGGTCATCTCTCTTGAGATATGATGGCATACTTGGTGGACTTATACTATTAAACATGTGCCGAAGAGATAAGAGTGCTCTTCCAGATAGGAGTGCTTCCCTTTTCACTAATCATTTAAGTAATCTCACTTTTCAGGTATTCAGAGCAATAAATATTCCTCAAATTAGAGATCCCTCCTTGCCACTACTGGAAGATTTGCCTAAATCCTATTGTGCTAAGATTGCTCTTCTTGGAGCAGGACCTGCAAGTATAAGTTGTGCCACGTTTTTGGCTCGATTGGGCTATTCAGACATCACCATTTTTGAAAAGGAAAACTACGTTGGCGGTTTAAGGTAATGTTTCTTCCTCGCAGTTTGAAATAAATCATTCTGAAAATCATATAGATGTTGTTATATGAGTTGGAACCTTAAAGAACATTTATATTTTGATTAACAGTTTTTAAAATAATACTGTCATACTGGTGAAGTTTTTGTTGTATAAATTAATCTACATACTGTCTGACACTATGAATCACTAAATAAACATATAAAAAATGTAGGGTCACCATATTTAACACACAAACACCCAATTTTAAGTGTGTGGGGGTTCTCATTTTTCAGTGAATAAGATTATTATAGTTTCATTTATGTATGCATTTCCATCTCTTAATTTTAAAGGCTTTTTAAACTAGTTTTGAACAAACATTTTTCCAAAATTATTTACAAAAGTACTTATTTACCATGTGAATTCACTATGTGCTTTGACAAAGCATACTAAAGGCAAGCAGCCAAAAAAATTTAAATATTCTTCCAGTTGTTTCTGATAGTAGACATCTAACTGCATCTCAGAAGTATAGTTGGTCCATTTAAAGTCCATTTGAGAATAAACTTCATTCATGCTTATCCCTGTTCTGGTAAAGCTATGATCAGATCAGATGCATATGGAAAATAATATGTAAATCATTTAAATTTATTAAATAAGTTAGAATGATTGCTCGCTATTTTTTAAAATTTCCATATATCTGTAGTTTTAGGATAATTTACAAATTCAAAACATTAAGTAAAACCTTATTAAACCTGCAGGCAAAAAAATGGAAAATTATTCGAAGAGGGAGATGATGTTGAGCAACCTTTTAACAAGGTTCCTGTAACTTCCATGTCATCTGCTTAAAGAAGCAGTTTTCAGTTGGCTACAAAATATTTGTTTTAAGAGTAGGAAATTAGACTAAGCAGTTAATAAATGGTTTGGACAAGACAAAATACAAAATATGCTTTCTGTCCAGGTACTACTGCTATATACAGTAGTAGACAATTTTAATAAACTCTAGTTGCCTGTTATTATTCTGTAGCACATTTTTTTTCCTTTATACTTGCAACTGCATTTAATTAGAGTATTTGAACAAGGTAGGGAAGATACGCAGAACATGGTTTATGGATTTTTAAAAAAAATAATAACTGTAGGTTCCAACTAAGTCCAGCTCATTTTTGGACTAAAATTTTCTTTTGTCAGCTTCTCCCCAGACACCAAACTGGGTCCTATTTTGTCCAGCTTCTGTAGATTTATCCTGCTGATGGACAGACAGCAGAGAGTGTTCCAATCCCTTTTATGTCAATTCTTTCTAACATGCCAGTGGGTTGACAAGATTAAAAAGGATTTTTGTCTTCTTGTACTCTTAAATGTAAACTTACATATGCAATCTTTTAGTGGTTTGTTTTATTACATTTTTAACCATTTAAAAAAGCTTTTAACAAGTTAGTCTCACATTCACAACATTGGTTAGAGAGAGAAAATATAGTGCCTGATACCTTCTTTGCCCACCTTCCTTCCTGTCTCATCTGAATTTGATTTGTTTCAAATATGTGTTTAATTAAAAAGAATTATGTGGAAATTGGCATGCTGAAGAAGAAAAATCCCAGCTTCTAGCATACTTTTTATTTACAAGAATGTCTCTGAAGCCTACACAGGCTGCATCTGAGTTCCTTTTCAGCAGGAAAGGGGTGTTTAATGAAAGGCCACAGACATAGTGCAGCCATTTTGTGACATGCTTTCCATATTTCAGATGGGCTTCCTGGTCCCAAATATTCCCATCCTTGCCATAAGAGTTAATATGGCTACTCCTGTGGATAGCATTCAGTTGTCTTCATACATGCAACTCTGTTCCATTCCCTGTCCTAATTAATTTCTGGGTTTTTTAAATCCAAAATTAAATAGATAATTTGTATTTAGTGCATACTTAAGTATATTTTAACTTACACAAATACATTTTGGACATACTTTATCCCCAAATCTGTATTTTCATGGGATCTCACATTTCTAAATACGTTTTAGTGTCAGTCGTGACACCCATTGAAACATTTTGGGCCAAGAATGTCATTATAGAATTTATCCAAGTATGAAATCCAGTAGACAACTGCATTCTGATCTATAGTTTAGCTTAAGAATTAGGTATCAGTTTGATTTGCTTAACAATTCTGACCAAGCAAAAATCCTACTTACACAGATATTTTCCTCAGCAAGAAGCTCCATAATTTAAGTGCACTTGGTAATATATTTTGTGTTTGTTAGAGACTTTAACTTAAGTTTCTTCTTCTTTATTTGTTTTTAGCATGTATCATTCCCAAGAAACCCTCTCTTTGGGGGAATTGGCTGAGAAATATTTCATTGGTTCTGTTTTATTTGTTCTCTCCAGCACATCTGAAATCCCCCAGTTCCGGCTTCCATATGATGTAGTACATTTTGAAACTAAGCTTATGAAGGACCTCGGAGTGAAGGTAATGAAAAATATAAACTGCCTTGGTATAGCTCACAGAAAAAGAAGCCAGAGCACTGCTAAAGATTAACAGCAAAATGTCATGCACCTTAGTAAAGAACAATTAAAAGCTACACTAGGCTGAGGGAGGAAGATGCTTTCCCTTGCTTGGGGCATTTGTCTGTCTGCTGTCTGAATGCCACTAGTTGGGAAAAGGGCAATCAATAGCTCATCCGGCTTGCCTGCATGTGATTAATTGTCTGTAAGAAACAAATACCTAAATTGCTTTAGGGGTTCAGTGTAGCTATTGGAAGGATTTTATTTCTTTAATCATGTGTGGCTGTTGCTGCTTTTTCCACTTGTCTTTTCCTCTCACAAATTAATTTTAGTTAAAAAATTAACCCATGACACTTTTTGTCCACATTGTGTTTTTTATAAAATATAATCTCACAGAGTTCTTTTGCATGTTAACAAAAAGAGCTAAAGGTAGGAATTAGCACTAGTGATAGTTACACTTCCCTAAAAAAAAGTAATGCGGTATGTTTTGTGATGAGAGTTTTTAAATTTTAGATTGTAGACTGCTTTTGATTATAATAATCTGCCATCGTATGACAGTACAAACTGGGTAGTAAAATTATTAAAAGCATATATGTTGATATTATTTTACTCAGAATTATTTTGGCCCTTAAGCTTAAAATTGTATGCATGCAGGTGAGGTAATACTGTCACAGGGAGTTGTTATTTATGTATGTCATTCTTTTTTGGAAATAATTTGAGATTTTAAAATTTACAAGACTAGGCCTAAATAATATTATAGCCTTGTTTTTCCATTGCATATAAATATAACTCACAGAATTGTATAATAAAAAAAGATGATTTATACTTTGTACTCAATGACTACAGAGTATCTGAGGAAGACTGCAGCTGTTATTTATTATATCATTTTGTAATTATGAGTACATGGGTCTTCTAAAAGAAGAGAAAATAAAAATTGTTTAATAAACACGGTCAACTCGAATTAAGACCAAAAGCTTACCATCTTAGCTTCCATGTGAGCAACTATTTTTAATTTAGCTTCCTATTGCAGGCAGCTCTCTCTGTGTAGTATGTGCATGTAAGCTGCTGCCCACCATCTTAGAACTAAATAAAACAAAATTTAGATACCTCACATCTTTTCATAAGAACACACCAAAAAAACCCTTATTGGATCAGTCCAAAGTAGGCCTACCATAACTGGGCTGCAAAAATCCAAAGTAACATCAGATGTCAGCAGAGAGATACAGAAAACTCTTAACTCTTTACTACCATCTTATGGTCATTCAGATTTTTGCAGCTCAGTTGTGGTATGCTAACTCTAACTATCCTTGCTTCCTGCTTTCCACAGTATCTAAATGCCTCTGGTAAGGCTACTTTTGTTGCCTGTTCCCTGGCAATTAATTATTCGGTGCTATACTTCCTCTGACCTTGAAAATGGTAAATGGCCATCATGACTTGTAGCCACTGATAGCCTTATCTTACATGAATATTTGTATTCTCTCTTAAGACCATTTTGTTTGGTCATCACTATGTATCATTGTAACAAAATCTCAAGTCATTCAAAGTTTAACTTGTTCTAACTGATGTTTAGCATAGATGTGTTTTCATCTCAATCCTAAAGCCCACAACAGTGCTGCAGCCTACCTGTTATAAGATCCTCATGCTCTGATTACTAGACTATCTCCCACAGTCACCCATATATTTCTGTATGCATAAAAACTAAAGTGTTTTTAATTTTTCTTAAGTTTGCATGTTAGAGCTATCTCTAAAATGAAGTGAGAAGAGAGTTGACCCAATTTACTTGGCTGTTTGAAAAAGGAATATACCCTGTGTGTAGTGAAGGGCTATGTGTAAACTGAATAACTGTTGAATGAAGGATTACATGATTATTAAGAAAAAGGTGTATATATAAAATGTTGAGAAAAGGGGCCTCCTGTAAAACGATAGCCAGAAGGTTGAGAAGGGGGCTTTGTGTAAACTGATACCTGCTGAGGAGAGGTCAGGGGGAAAGGAATGTC